CAGAAGAGAGATCTCACTCAATAGATGAAGATGGATCTCAAGTGCCAATTTTTAGTACAGGCTTGGGCTAAGGAGTGTTTTCTTTAATAAAAATGAGGAAGGATGGAGAAAGTTCTTGTCTGTCAGTGTCCTGCAGAGGAAATAGATGAAAGTATTCAGGTACTACATCCGGATTCATGCTAAATGAGCAAAAACTGAAGTATGAAATAATTATTTACAATGAAATGATGGGGATCCACGTAGTCTCTGATTATGGTGTATCAAGAAGTAATCAATTTTTCATGATAACTGTTTTTTGAATCAGAACAGTTTGGACTGTGTAAACAAATGTTTTCCTTTAAACATATGCTGCTCATGTGCTTTGAACAGAATACATTTTTAATTTTCCAGCTAAGGAATAAACGTGACAGTAAGAGACATTTTGAAACCTCTGGCCTTTTCTGCCAGATGTACTGGTTCTTACTAATTAGTTCAGTGTTCTTTAGTGTATAATCAAATTTGCAAATCCACTCTGCACCCCTAAGTGGATGAATAGATATCACCACATCAGTGAAAAGAACAATTTGTATTTTGGCTTTCAAAGAAGTGTTTTGTAAATCACTGAAGTGTAATACAGCCAAGATATTGGTTAAAAGGTGTGAAAAAATCAACTGTCGGTTTCATTTCTCAACACTGACCAAGTCTACTGGTGAACTGAAGTTCCATAGTGTTTTATAGGAAGATTTGGAGTTGAGAAAGTTAAGGTTTCTGCCATGACAGTGCTCTGTTTGATGACTGCCATGTTTTGTCCATGCTTTCACCAACATTTTGTGAGCTTAATATATTAATTTCCAAGCTTAAGCAGTACTTTTTTCTGTCTGCTTTTCTCTGTGGCCTTTCATATCTCTGCTTATGTCATAGTTAGGCCAGTACTTACGAACAAGAAGCAAACAATGAGTGTCTTCAGAAGTGAGCTAAATGCAAAAAAATCTGGGCCAAGTGCTGCTTGGCTTCATCCCCAACTCTTCCATTCTAGCTCCAGATTCCTTTTCACAATGGAAAGAAAAAATGAAATTGTCTGTCTGAACGATATATACCCCAAGAACTTTCTACTAGGAAGAGATATGTTGTAATCAAGAGCCAACCAAAGGCTATGTGAAAATTTATGTCTATCACAATAAAGGAAGGCTCAGATCTGTGCTAAATATGACAAACACCTGACACAGGAAATACTAAAACCTGTAAGATAAGTTTTCAAACAATGATAACTTAGGAGCTCAAAATTGGATCACTATGAAGAGCCAAGTCACACACAAGGCCCATATTTTAAATGGTTTCCTGTATGCCTGCTCACAGTGTCAGCAGCTTAATTAAGTTTGGCTTTAAATTCTTTCAGTGGAAAAAAATAAGTGATGCAATTGAACTGTCATGCCAGCAATTTACAATTATCTTGTATGCAATCAAAGGCAAGCTCCTAATTAAATTCAGATGTTTTAAATTGTTTCAAAGACCAAGGAAGAGAATAAAGGTACCCCAGTGTTTTTGAAACTATTCTTCAAATTTGTATAACTATCTTCTCATATGACATCAAAATTCCTTCAGTGAGTTCCAATCACATGCAAAAGCTGCCTTAGAATTGCTATATAAAGCATTTCTGCTGCCTTTCAGTAAAGACAGTGGATTCCTATAGAAAGAATAAAATTTACTCCTCATGGTGCCTTAGGTTAAATAGTGCCTCCAATGAAGTCAACAGGAAAATGTCTGATTAGTTCAGAGCAGCTAAGTATTTGTCCATATCTATCTACTGATATCAACAAAACTCTCCAGGGAATAATGGAAAATTACATTTCTACATTATTTATTTTTATGTTAGAGAACTCTCTTGCACAGATTAAACCTAAGGCTACTTCTGACTTTTGATCAGAAGCACAGATTAGGTTGTGGTCAGATGTGTAGGATGAACTTGCTTTGATCTTTTGTCTTCAAAATACTGAGAAACAGAGTGATATTTATCATTTTTTCAGTATAGTGTATCACTAAATGGATACATTTGGCCTCATCCTAGATGTAGCTGCTATGGTTTATCTGAAAGGTAATCATTGTCATGACATTGCTCTTTTTACTTTTCTAATTTCTACCCATTAAGAACAAAATATAAGAAGAAAGAGTATATGGCAAACTAAAATCTGCAGATGCTGGTTAATAATATTAGACTTTTGAATATAAATTTACCCTCATCTCATCAGTGGTGCTTATCACAAGTGCCAAGTTCTCCAGTGCTTAAAAAAAAAAAAAAAAAAAAAAAAAAAATCCAATTGTTTTTTTCACTTAATTATGCTTTAAAATCCTAATTGATTATCAAAGGCAAGATTCTGAAAGAGGGTATACAGGAACATCTGAAAAACATACTTGAAGATGGAGGGCTGAAAGAGTTTATAATTTGGTTTCAAAATATAGTCATCATCAAAATTCAGTGAGTCTCCATTTGTACAGAAGGCAACATGACAAAATGTACTTTGCGCAAGTAATGGTGAGCACATATCTATTCCCCAGAGTCTGTCAGAGTATTCTGTGGGTGCTCTTTGTTTTGGTAAAGCTGCAAATTAAGGGATGCATTCAGTTCTCTCTAAGTTCACTTGCATTGTAGAGATATCTTTTACCAAGTGCTTCTTCCTCCAAGCTCTATGTTCCCAGAGGCAATCTGATCATATATTGATTTATGCTTCTGTTCCCTTTTATCTTAAATGCAAGCTATTTTTTGCAACTTCTTTTCTGAGCCTGAATATATGTAAACTTCTGTGTTTAAAATAACTGTGTAAAGTTCTTTTGGGTGGTCATTAATGAACCTGGCTGATTAGCTGCCCAATCTAAATGTTAAATTTTCAGGTTTTACTGCTAGCAGAACATATGTTTAATCTTTGTACTTTCATTGTGTTTCTTTAGATAGTTCTACAGATGAAGGTTCTCCTAGATTTGAGCTTTCAGTTTAAAGTGATGGAGACTTGACTAAATCTTTTCATTTTGATTTTCATTTTTCATTTTTATGTTTTTAATTTTGATCTTTTCCTATGTCAATTAACAATATTTTCTTTGCTGCATTCAATGAAACTGATGAGCATGCCTATACTCTAACACAACTGAAAATATGAAGACTCTTGGTGTCTAATCATAATGAGTAAGAAAGAGCACTGAAGTCAGAACTGATTTATAAACAAGTGCAACATGTACTTCACCTACTATAAGTCAATGATATTCTAGATGGTAGGCCATGGAGGTTAAAAATCTACAGTACTTTTCAGTATTTTCTTTCCATTCCAACAAAACACTCAGTGAGGAGGTAGAAGGTTATTTTGCATTAATAAGCCTTTTCTCATTTTAGAGAAAAAGAGAACATTGTGAGAGCTGTATAAGGATAATCCTCATTAAAACATTATTAGCAAGTCACACTATTAGAACAGTTAAAGCCACTGACCTTGATTATAAATGAGTAAATTGGTTAATGAGAATTGTACTTAATTGGGGGCATTATTGCCAAACAGGGAAATTATATGAAAGTGAAATACATCACAATGGTTATTCTACACAATTAAAGATCTAGGAGGAAAGAGATTAAGAAGGAGAGCATGAGAAAGTAACAGTCATCAAATAGAAGTTCGTTTTTAAAAGCGTATTGCAGGAGTCTATTAAGTAAAGCTAAATAAAAGTCAGTGGTGCATATTTATTTTGTTGAAACTAATCTGAAGCTACTTATTGTAAGACTATAGAAAATCTTATACTTAAGCACCCTGCTGAAGTGTTATTCTGTAATCATAGAGCACCTGGCTGGGATAAAACCAGCACCTCTGCACTTACCTAAAAATGCCATCCTCACATCTGTCCTTCCTTAAGCTTCTCCTTGCACATGTCTGTGAGTTATATCTGCTGTGTTGATTTTTTTGAGCATTCTTTGATTTTAGGGTTAGATTTTGCTCAGAGTTTTCAGGCTTTGTGGTGCTTCCTTTCCTATTTAGCTATGCTGGAAATTACATGCCTTCCTGCCAAGAACATCTTGTGAGAGATAACAGTGCAGACACATAAATGCTTGCATCTAAATCCGGTCACTGAGATTGGATAAAACCTAGGAAGACATCGCTAAATTTGGTTTGTGTTTGACATGGTATTTCATGGTGTTATTTCCAAAACACTTCACCTTGAGCAGATTTTATCCAAGTTAAAGTCCAGTGTGTGTGAAGCATATATTTATGTTTCTAAAACATGCTTCGAGGAGAATCAGCAAAGCTTTTGATCATGCTGTACCCCTCAACATGGTTCTATCTAGTCTATAGTGCCTCTTGTTCCTGATCTTGACAACCCAAAGACTGGATCACCTGTACATTCCAGGTACTGGAATTGAATCTAGTAAAGGATGTCAAAGAAAACAGGAAGAGCATCTATAAATACTCATCTGGCAAAAAGAAGACAAGGGATAATGTGGCTTTGATGTTGAATGTGTTAGGAGACTCTGAGACAAAGAACATGGAAAAGAAGAAGAGATGGTTCAGGGGGGGAATGTTATCCACATGCATAAATAAGCGGTGAAGGTATGGGAAAGTAAAGAAGTGGTGACAGGCTCCTTCCAGTGGCTGCCAGTGACAGGACAAGAGGCAAAGAGCATAAACCAAACAGGAGTTTCTGTCCGAACATCAGGAAACACATTTTTACACTGACGTTGGCCAAGCACTGTCACAGGTTGCCCAGAGATCTTGTGGAGTCATCCTTCTTGGAGATCTTCCAAAGCCATCTGGACACAGCCCTGGGCTGTGTCCAACCAACTCTGGATGTCCCTGACTGAGCAAGAGGGTTGGATTCCAGAGGTTCTTTTTAGCTTCAGCCATTTTCTGATTCTGTGATTTATTTTGGGCGGATGAACTTTAGTCTGAGTTACTTGTATTTGGTAATGTCACAATCACACATGCCCTTGCAGCAGAAAAAGGTCTCATGGAAATGAAGTTGTATTACCAACTCTGTCTTGAAATTGCAGACAGGGAGGTAGATACCCACAGTACTACATAGATAACAGCAGAAGAGAGGACCAAGTTCTCTGCTGAGAAATATCACCAAAACTCCTTCAAATAGGAGGCCTTTGGCAGGTAAATGATGTGGATAAGATTACTTGCTTGGCTTGGATTGTGTCTAGAGCCACTCTCTGAGACTGTACATATACAGTCCAGCAAATGTTACAAGATAGCATATGCTATCAGTATCAGTGCTTAAATCTGTGGTCATGCTGTATATTTATATGCTTGAACCACAGGGAAGTCAGTCCAGCCTCAGGTCTTTAAGAGTGGCATGAGAACCCTAGCTCTGTGGGACTCCTTGCAGCTCCTAGGTACAAAGGGACTACATGCTCAATGTCCTTGATTTTAGTGGGATCCAGGCTATGCCCTGGATCAGATGGTCATCCAGATGCCTCCAGCTTGTATGCTGACAAGGTTAACCCTGGGGATGAAAGGACAGGAGGATACAACACTGGAAAAACACAAGTCAACTTCTAATAGTTAAAACAATAAAGGTGCACAATTCAAGGCTTTTCACAACTACTTTTGCAAATTTGTTGTTAATAGCCTGTGGAATGTTTCAGTGTATTATAGTGCATGACTAGAGTTATGCTGAAAGAGTTAGTTATGACACAAAGTTGGTCAGTTGAGAACACTATTAACTGCAATTCTCCATTTTCTATGGGGTGAACTGCTTGAGGCATAGACTCATTTAGAGAACTGTGTGCAGTGGACTACTTAGTTTTTATATAAAATTGTAATGAAAACAGAGATGGAGTGATCACATCCCACTCATTCTTCTTGAAATTCCTTATGAAGTACTTTCTCGTTCATCTTTTCCCTCTATAAAAAATAAAATGTTCAGTGAACAATCAGGGAGGGGACTGAAGGTTGTGTGGTTCCCATTTGACACTTTAGAGAAGGCTAGTTTTTATACTACAATCACAAACTACACTTAACTTATAAAGGTCTAAGACTTTCTTCAGCTTGAGAGCTGAAGGTATGGCAGGAGTGGGTGAAGTAAGAAAGGACAGGAGGTCTGTATGGAACAGTATTTTCCATTCACTTTCAGAAAGCTAATCCATAACCTGCTGCCAATTTTCTGTCATTTGTTTGGTGGTGATGGCATGCTGTAGAGTGCCAAGCTGAGCATCCCATAGATCTTATGCATAAAAAAAATTGTGTAGGAAGCTGAAGATATATCTCTTGTAACAAAACAACACATAAGGGCTGTACATCACTGAAATCTCCTTTTTTCTCTCAATTTTTCATTACCACCCTGCAGCAGTTTGAGTTTGTCATCCTAAAGCTACAAAACAATTTTATTCTTATGCTAGATAATTAATACTGAATAATAATTAATGCTAGATAATTCATACTGAATACGCAATGTGTTGGAACAATTAAGTATTAGATCATAGCTCTGCTAAAAAAGAGTAATATGGATTATCCACAGAGAGTTAACTGTTATGAATACTGCATAGCTGGGATACCTCTTCTTTCCTCTGATTTCATCTGCGAGAGATTGTTGTGGTGATATGTGTTTGATCATATATCTTACTTTAAATAAAATAATCAATATCTGTTCTTCCTTTTGTCCCACATTTTCATGAATTTAATATTCTTTATCTTGCTAGATGTAAGATTGAAAATCCTAGAGCTGTCACTGTCCTCCTAAACTCTCTATTTCAGGGTCAACACAAGGATTGGTCATGGTTTGCTCTGCTAAACTGAAAGTATAGGAGGGCTACAAGGTTTTCATGTAATCTTTCATAACCTTTTCCCTTTTAGCTTAAGCTATGCTCAGTTTCATTGCAGTCCTGAGCCTTTTGTTCCTCACTTGCTTCAACTACGTCTTGAGTATTCTGAGGGGAGAGAAGGAATGTGTTGAAATGCCCTTTAGGTCTCTACCCTGCTAGAGGAAGGTTAATATATTGGCATTAAGCAAAGAACTGACAGTTTTGGCCAGTTATTTCTATGGCTTCTTTCACTGCAGTGTCTAAATGCCTCACAAAAATCTGTGTGTTTATTCTTATTGTACCACCCCATAAATGAAAACACAGAGAAAAAGAGATCTGTGCAGCTCAGGCTGACAAAGTTGACAGTAAAACAGAAGACTATTCAAGTCTAAGTAACAACCCTGTGCTTCAACTTGAAACCTTTCTCCCAGCTTTGCAATGTTTGCCTGGTGTGGTCCTGCTTTTTCCCAAACTGAATGGCTGTGGTCAGACCATTCTATGCTGTGCATCTTGTAAAACTGTGAGACCTTGTCAGGAAATTTTTGACACGTGCAAGCAAGTAACAGTCATCTGTGCACACAAGAGAACCGTCAAGTATTCCCTGAGATGTGAAGGAGGGTCTTGACTCCAAGCCTGTTAGAAGTAGGCAATGTATCAAACAGATAAGGAATATTCTGTGTGAAACTCACTCTGAATCAAGCTACATCAGGCACAAGACAGACAAAATCACAATTCTTTTTCCTGAGATAAATTACAGAGAATCTAGCTAGAGGTTAGCTACAGGCTCACGTAATTGATACTAATATGCTAACTGTAGCAAAGCCTGGATTCTAGCCAGCATAAAGCTGTGTTACATCATTGGTAGATGATCTCCTGGCATTAATGGGTACAGAATGATCTCTTTGCCTTCAGTATCCATTTATATTTTATCTCTGTCACTGTAAGATGCTGCTGTCTCATCCAAGGATGCTAGAATGTGCTTAAGTCATGACAGATGTTATGGGTGGGAGTTACCTAATGATTTGGAACAGAAAAACACCCTTCCATCCTTACACCTCATCCAGATATTTGTTATATTCTCTTCAAAGTTATTCTGTCAAAAAGTACTATCACAGAACAAAAAAGAACAATCACAGTCTCTGATGAGAGGCATCTCTGTACTACTTTGGCCACCATGGCAATCAGGCCAAGTATACTTGTGCTCCTTGTTGGTGTTAAGAGTACTTGTGGCCTCATTCGTGAATAACATTTTCTAAAATCTCCATTTGCCCCAAAGTCTCCATCATATCCTGATGAATGAAGACCTGTCTGCATTTAATTACTTCTCCAAAGATAAGCAAAATCCTTGAACACTGACCCTTCGGCAGGTAAATGTTAACAGTATAGACCCTTTGGTTGGCATATATCCTTGGTGACCAGGCTCCCACAGTCCATTCAACTAGTGATCCATTCTCAGGGGTGAACTCCAAATAAAATTTTGGATATGGGTTAATGGCTATCTAAAACTCAAATATATTTAAACTGTCATCTTTTAACTTTGATTAATTGCATACTTTTCTTCTACCAGATCTCTGGCTGCTGATTTTACTCTTTTCAACTGAACTAGAAGTGCTGAAGACATGTACAGCATATCCAGACTCCACAAGCTGTCATATGTTATTTTGTGCACGCACCAAAAATAGTTCCAGGCACTTCCACAAGCAGGTTAGGTTTGGTAGCACTGCACATGACATAGTCAGTTCTGGACAATATAACTTCTGTTGCTGTAGACACAGGTGAAGAATAAATGGCAAGATCTGTAAGGAGCAGAGGGGAGATTTGGGGCACATATGTGTCCTTTGGTGAGAAAAGTCAATCCGTTTTCTGTATACCCTTAATTTCCTGGGATCACAGCATACTAGTCTAAATTATTAGTGGTGCTTTTCCACAAGAATTGCTTTAGCAAGGATTTAGTTAGAATAGACATCAGAACTTAAAGATGGTTTAAAAAGTCCCTTTGAATGTTTCTCCATTTAATAACCAAAATTGAAATGTTCCCTGGAAGCATGACTGCAGCAATAAAATAGTGACGAAATTCTGGAAGAGCTGAATTCTTGCCTGATTTCCCACCAGCTTGACTAAGAGTAAGAGGAGCCTATGCAGAAAGACTATTGGAGTCTGTCATGTTCATATTTCTTCTCATGGGACTGTCCTGCCTAAGCAACTGGGGAAATCCTTCCCTCTGTCAAGGGAACTGCTGGAATTTTTACAGTAGATGAAACTTTAACTTCAGAGGTCTGGTCTTAATCTTGTTAGCACCTTTGGCTATAAAGAGACCATTTTATTCTTATTGCAATTCTAGACTATCCATGAGACAGGACAACTTTGACCTTCTGAGCCAAGGTCAAATCTGACTGCATCTCTTACACTAAAATGGCAAATCTTTTCCATTAAAAAGAATAAGTGTTGTGAATACTGTTCTGCTGAAAAAGGCTAATTATAAGATGGTGGCAGGCAGTATTTCTCAATAAAATATCATTGGCAGGAATGAAGCTATATTCTTTTGAAAAGTCACCATGTTACAGAAAGCAATAAACAAGAGAAAAATCAATAAAATTGTCTCTGATCTGAAGCATTGTATGGCAACTGTTGAGTCAGGGCCTGAGCCACTGATTGATCACCTGAGGCAAGCACTGAGTCAGCCATGGAGCACAGGTGAAAGCAATTCAGCTGTGTGACCAGAAGGGGTGGAACCTGGCTGCACCTCTCCTAGACCCCATTTAAGGACTGACTCCAGGGGGGAAGGGTCTGTTTCTGAAGATTCCTCCTTTGTGAAGTATTTTCTGCAAACCTTTAGGTGTAGGTGAGTATTCTTTCCCTGTTTGTTTCTTTTTTCCCGTTTTCACCACGGTAACCTTTCTAGCTGTAAACCAACTGTAAGACGCATGTAGGAGGAATGCCTAACCTCAAAGTATTCTGCTTAGTAAGAAAAAACTAGTGGATAAGATGAAGGGTTTTTTTTTTTTTTTTTTTTTTTTGAGGTACCAACAGTTGTCCTATTAATATGCAAGGTTTATGTGTGTAAATTAGATATAAGGTGCTCATTTTCTAGATTAATTCATGTAATTTAGTGGCCTTGTATTTCACTTGGCTTATAGTGTGTATATATATATAGCATATAGTAGATGCTATATGTCTTGGAGGTAAACTAAAAGTTGATTCTGGTGCCTTGTCAGAGTTGTTAGATTAGATCAAACTCCCAGGGTAAAACTATAATGTAGCTGTTTGTATGAGATGCACATCTTTTCCTAAAGCTTCTCTAAAACAAGTGGCTGGAGCACATGTAGCAAGGTGATTGCTTGGTGGCATCACCTTGTGCTAAAAACACACATTTCTGTAGGGGCAGTTTTTTAGACATGAGAAACTTCTCTGAATCTACTCCCACAGTAAGTGGCAATAGTGCTTAGCATGAGATGTGGCCATTTCTAATTACAAGGGCTCTGTAATATTTCCTACTAGCAGCAATCTGCTCACAGCAACAGAGCAGCTATTTGATGCTGAGGCTGCTATGACAGGTACTTGAACATATAAATAGAATTATGCTTCATAAGTGTGACAGCATCACATGGCTGAGTGCATGGAAGTGCTGAAGTGAGAAAAATTCTAACCCCACAGTGATCAGTGTGCTGGTATTACATTCAGTGATGACCTCTGGAAGTGATAGGCCTGGTAAAACCCATGAATGAAGCACTAGTGGCAAGCTTTTGTTTAAACTATGACTGTGATAAAAATGATGAAATTAATATTTGTGATGTAGATGTGAAAGTTTACAGTGCTGTACATGCATATACCCATGACACTTTGCCTTCAGCTTTCTGGGTCCAGTGACACTCCCAGTAGTTCCTGTGGGAGGTAGGGGAAATGAACATATTGTACATAAATAGTTTCAAATAGTGAGAAGAAGCTGTTTCTGCAGATGCAGAATGTCTTTGGATGCATTAAAGGTTCAACTAGGCAACCTGAACCATTTAGCCGAAGGTCAGATTTGAAGACCTTCCTACTAGTTAATCTCTGCTCTTACCTGGGTTATTTGAAATTTCATTGACCACTGGAATTGATGTGGGCTTTTCACTGCCTCCTACGTTATGGTTCTGTTTCTATTTTGCATAGGAACATAGGATTGGAAGGGATCTTGTGAGTACTGTATGTTGTCCTTCTAATAACAAGAAATCCATTTGAGCTTCTCACTATGTGATAAGGAGTGAAGGACCCGGGAAAGAGCTGATCAATTACAAATGGTTTTCTTGTAGGTTGTTGTCTTTCCCCGCCAGAATGCTGTATTTTTACTGTAATGTTTGTGAAGAAGAATACTGGTAGATTTTCTTTAACAGATACAGGAAAAACAAAAGTCTGTGAAATAAAAAAAATACAAAAGAAAACCATGAACACAAAAAAAAAAAACCCACCAAAATTGAGTTTGTTGTCTGACATTTGAAGAAAATCTATGACATAACTAAAAGTTTTACTGTATATTTTTAGTCACAACTTGTGAGAACTGATACTCATAGCAGAGCTGTGGCACAATGGTGAGTCTACCTGTGATTGACTGGAGATGTAGATCACCGTGTGTGAGGCTGTGAATAAATTTGTCTGCCCTGCAGAGTAATTTAGGACCTGTTGTACTCTTGTGCTGATTTCTTTCTGACAGCATGTTTGTTAGTGCTGCCCTGATGAAATTTGACTCTCCACTCCTTCCATAGAGTACCACCATTCTTCAGGCCCTGCACTTCCATCAGCTCTCCCTCGTGCTTCAAAATATCCGGAGCTCCTGCCCCACCGTCTGTACCCTCACTTCTTGATTTCTCTTGCCTCCCCCTGAATCAAGATAACTTTAGTTTTAGTTACTAACCTTAGTTAGTAACATAACTCAGTTTATGCCTCTTCAAATGGAGGATGCTTTACCTATTATGGTAACAGCTGTGTCACGAGTGTTGTGTCATTTCTCATAGATGGATCTGGTCAAGAGGAATATTTTGCCAGAAGCTAAGAATAATTTGGTGTAATTTATTGGTAAGTACTATGAATTTGAGACTTGCTCTATGGCAGTGGGAAAAAATGTGAATGGAAATTTGTCACCAGGTTGTAGTTTTCTTCTGTTCAAGAAATTACTCAAATGTCAGACCTACATTTTTTTTTTTTTTTTTGCTTTCTGTTTTCCTTTTCCTTGTCTTCCTCAATGACCACAGTAGAGTATGACTCTATGCTATGACGAAGACTGCAATTAGTAATTTTATATGCAAGAAGAAACATCTCAAAAGAACAATGGGGTAACTTATTTTCCATCATATTCAAGGGCGTGTATATGACAATGACATACTTCAAGATGAACCAGACATTTCCTGGTAAAAATGACCGATTCCACCCTCCTGCAATTCAGTATCATATTCTGTAGGTGTTCCGAACAGGTTATGCCAATGAAACTCTGGAGGTAAGAGTAATTTTTTGTCTCTCTTGCACAGTCTATCTCATTTCAGAGATACAACAACAAGAATACTTTCTCTTGAAATCCTAATAAATGCACCATTTTTAGATATAGTTTGATTTCATGCTGTCTTGAAAGAGTGATTGACTTTGATTTCTGAAACCCTGCACACAGCATAAATAGTGCAAAGCTACCTTTCCCATTTGTACAGTATTATTATTGGAAACTTGCAGAGTTTTATTTCTTTTTAATCTTCTGCTTCATGCCTCCACTGATACCGAAATCATTATCAAGTGTCATTTTGGTGTGTTACCTCATGCAGTGAATTACTGAAGTCAAGAGCAACAAACAGAATGAAGACCAGTCTGCTTGCAGACCTGTATAGCTTCACTGTTGTCTTATCTATGTTCAATTTCAGTTCAACGTAGAATAGACATCTACTTAGTTGGTTAGCAGGCTACAGATTTAAATTCTCAGCCTGTTCCAGTGTCAACTATAGTCAGTGAAAGTCTGCACGAACTTCAAGAGGCTTTAGATCAGATCCTACTTCTTGAATATGGAATAGAAATGGATTTATTATCTTTTACTTTTATGGATAAATGATATGAGATGAATATAAGATGGTAAAATGGGTAACTATCTAGATGACAACTGCATCACTGGATTGGAACATTCTGGCTGGAGCAGGCATATGTAGTTGTCAGGAGAGACAGAGGGATAATTGTCTCTTTTATCCTTATTTTGTGATTTGTAATTCCTTTTGTAATTTGATTTCTTTTAATTTGATTTTGAAACGTTAGGCATCTAACATAAATTGGTTTGAATTTATATCCACTAAGAATCTGTCCAGTTTATGCTAAGAAGTAAAATAGTTTATTCCCTGATTCACAGTGCAAAGTGTGGCTGTGGGTTGTACCAATTCCCCATGACTGAAAGCTTCTTACTTTACCACTTACAAACACCTGGAACATCACATCAGTGGCTTACTTGAATTTTCACCCTTGTTGATCATCTTGGCACCTGTGAGAGCTGAGTGTGACTCTTGCCTTTTCAGAAAACACTCATGGCATTAAGTGAAAAGAAAATAATGACTGTAAAGGATTTATCTGCAGTATTATTTCCTATTACACATTTTGCTATTGCTTTGAATTTTCTTCTTCCAGGTCTGAACTAACAGAGTCCATAATCATAACCTGAAAAGCAGGACTGGACATGCAGATTAACACAACTGTCCTGACCAAAAATCACATAATTGCTCATGCTTGCTGAATGAGAGATCATACAAATGCTCTATAATCTCATAGTACCCCTTCACAAATTGTTCAGCAAGTTGATTACCTGATGTAATTATTGGGAGGATAATTTCCTCTGCTGTTTTGTTATGTATCTGTCTCTCACAAGCTTCAGTTGAAGACCCACATTTCTTGTGGCAGGAAACGCAGCTCACAGTTACTTCCTCTTCAAAATCTCGATGCCAATCATGATTTTTAATGATCATTATCACACCAAAAATATTTTTTTCAAGCTGAGAAATCACAGCTTGCTCGATTGCTCTTTGTACAGATGTTTTCCATTTCAGTTTATCCTCTGTGCCTTTCTTGGGATATTTTCTATTTCTAATGTACCTCAGATACAGAATTAAAACTGCATAGCTTTTGAGATGTGGGCAAACTGTGGATTCACATAGTGGTATAATTATCTTGTCTATTCTGCTGTTCATTTTCCTACTAATTCCTAACATTTTATTCATGTTTTTTGTTCTTTTTGATTGCTACTGAACAATAAGCTGATGAGCTCATTGAATGATTTTATGTCTAGTATTAATGCTGAGCTCAGAGCCAATCATTAAAGATGTGGCATTAGGACTACTTTAGTGTTTATCATTTCACATTTATCTGTACTGACAGCTATCTGCCATTGTGACATACCTAGGCATTCAGTTTTGTAAACTGTGCAGTTCTTCACAGTCAGCTCATTTACAAACACGCTAACAAGAACCATTTCCCACACACGTCTGTGGATGTCCACTGGCTACTGACCTCCATTGCATGAACTGGCTGCTCGTTGCCAAGAGTTTTGAAAGGCTGATGGAATTTATATGTCCCTGAGAAACAACAAAAAAAAAATCTGTTGGTTTTTGCCAAGATCTTTCTTTGCTTAAAGCTGGTGCTACTCATGACTGAAGACTACCAATACTTACTGTCTTCTGCTCATTTTGTGAGTTTTAGTTCTTCTTCTTCAACTGTATATTGATGAAATATTTTGTATGTACTTGTTTTCCTTGTGAACATTGCATGGCTCTCCATGACTATATTCCTTATTTTAACCCAACTATATGTGCTATTTGTAGAGTATAGAGATGCATTATCTGTTACTACAGAGGAGGAAGTCCTCAACATAGATCTGGAACAGCTTGAAGAATTTAAATATTTTGGCATATGTTGCTAAGACCTAAGTCATGTTAGAGTGCATCTATGTGATAGCCTAGACAGGCAGTGTGATACAAGTGCTCTTCTAAAGATTATGGGAACTCTTACTGCTTTGTTCTGGGATATTTGTAGGATGACTTCCGTAGTAATCAAATGTTCCTTCAGCAATTCAGAATCACTTAATGTTCCTTTAAAAGTATATGAAATGTTAGAAAAGTTCTGGAAGAAGCTCAGCCTGTTCCTGTTTCACTAAGATTCTTTCAGTTTAAGTGGATTACCATAAAGCAGTATTGACAATTGCTCAGGCAATTGCACAGGGTACAACTCTCCATCAGCTAAGCAGAGATAATTAGGTTGAAAACCTGGCTGCGTTAGTTTAATCCAATACAGTACCAAATATGTACAATCAGTGATACAGCATATCATCTCAGCACTATGTCAAATAGATACCTGTTTTTGGCAAAAAAAAAAAAAAAGCAAGTTGTGCTGGAGATATGACTAATGGGAGTGGTTTTTTTTTTTTTTTTTTTTGGAGTGTGTGTTTGCACTGCAAGGAGTGATGGCAGTTGGTTTCATCTGGAGTAATTACAGCTCAGTGACCGCTAGTTGGGTAATTAATCAGAGGAAATTCTCGGAGGGTAAGGAAGCAGATCTCATTTTTGTGCTGAAAACTTATCTAATATTATTTCCTTACATATGGAAGGAAAAACATCCTCTCCCAACAGGAAGGTAATGAAAACAGAGTAACAGAAAGATGTATTTATTCAGGACCCAAAGAAAGTTGTATTTCCTAGGTGATATATGTATACATATATATATTTTCTGAATGTTATACTGTCAGTTTTGGTCAACACAATGCTGTGAACTTCTTGAACAGATTAAAGAGAGCAGGAAGGTGGTTTTGAGAAAGTGCTCTGTCATATGTGTTACTAATGCACCATGTCTCAGAAGGAGCAAAGTATTATGTAATTCAAAAACTATGCATACAGTGAATGCAATTTATGATACATACTTCATGAAATATTGTGAAAATGTTGTTTCTTGAAATTACGTTAGAATGGTTCTGACCTCCAGGAAGGCCTTTCTAATCAGAATGAATGTGTTAATTCAAGAATGTGCCTAGACTATGAATTCAGGACATTCTCTGGAAGGGCAAGGAGGTATTTTACATTTGATACTTGAGAGTACAGTTCCAGAAAGCAATTGAGTAGGGACAGGATGTTGTGTACTGGAGCTCTATGTGATAAAGTGTTCCCTGTTCTCAAAGCATTCCTGCTATTGGAGTAAGGAGCCAAGGAAAGGGGAATCTTGACAGAAGAAGAGAAAGTCAGAGTCAAGAGATGTTGCCAAGGCTCTTCTATTAGATTAGAAGACTATCTTCTGTTTTGTTCTTCTGTTATAAGGATAACCTGAAGCCTTGAAGTCTGTCAAACCTTTGCAGAACTACTTGTCAATAAAGCCTTGTTGGGACTATAGAATTCTACTTGTAAAAAATCTGGTCTTTAAATGAATACGGTCCACTATCTTATAAAACATATATTCCTTTTTTTGTGTATTCCCAAGTCTGCCTTTAAATTCATAAATGTGGCACAGCATGCAAACTGCTTCATCTCCTTATAACCTAGATGAGAACAGTTTGCAAGGAAAAAAGAAAGCCATCTTTCAGTGAGATCCATCAGTAGCTACGTAAAAATAGAACACTTGACACAAAGAGACATTAGTGTGTTTTACTGTGGAAATTTTAGTACTGTGTATGTGTAGTGGAACTGTGAAATGCCAGCTTTTCTGACAGAACTTGGAAGTTTCCAAGAAGGAATCAGCATGCACTCACTGCAAATTCTACTGCAGGCTTGGTGGGGGACTCAAGACCTTCTGAATTAAACTTGTTTTTGAAGAAATTTTATTTCATAACATTTTACATCTCTGTATTGTCACTTTCAGAACAGTTAAATCTACCTTGAGGAATTACTGTTTGAATTAGTCTATGTATTCAAGCTTCCAGTAAAGAACACTATCTCAGATCTTTATTATAACTAAATAATATCTGTATAGAATACAGTATCTAATGTCTATATCAGCACAGAGTGAGCAGATCAGGTCTCAGCCTAAACACCATAGCATATTGCATTGGCTGAGCTACCTCTTTACAGCGATTGTAATTTTAGCAGTGATGGCAACAGTAATTCCTTTAGTAAATCACAGTATGCTCCCTAAACGGAAAGAGCTTTGCAATTTCCTGAGTGAATGGAAAAATAATTTTGTAGGATCAGTAAATATAGAGATGATTATTATAGGATTTATTGTAGTTTATGTGAAGAACTTCAGTTGCTCACGGTAGCCTGTCAGAAGTACGATACCATGCAAGTGGAGGCCGTAAGTGTAGCATAGTTTAAAAGGTTAACTTTTTGTTGCTGAGTAAAATAAGAGCTCATAAAGAGGTGAAGTGATTTCAGAAGCAGCAAAGATCCCAATGCTGCAATGCCATGTCACTTCAAGACAACAATGTGAATGTTTTCCAAGAGTCACTCAGAACTAAGTTGTTGCTAGTAAGTGGAAACAACTTCCTTCTCCACCTCCCAGATTAAAAAGGCTGTTGATATTCCAACACTGAGAGGCAGTAAAATACTTCAGTTGGTGTTTCCAGCTCTACAGATAAATAGGCATTCCCTACTTGCTTACTTTCAAGACAGCATGAAACTGTATTGGGAGTGTTGGAAGCAGCCAGCTTTCCTGCAACCCTTTACCCTTTAGGGTACACTTTGGGATTGAATCCCAAGGGGCTCTCTGTACCAGTGTCCTGAACAGTTCGAAGTCTGCCCTCCAGGCAGTTTTGCTGTCCCCCCTGACACCCCCCTTCCTGACTTCACCAAGAATCAAGAACTCTTCCATTTTGTGGTCACTCTGTTCAAGACCGCTCCCAACCTCCACATCTCCCACTAGTCCATATCCACATATTATTTTGATATGAGAAATCCAATTAATCTTCTTGTCTATGCATTGCATAATATAAAAAGGGCAGAAACTTTTGACTCATGATAGAGTGTTGAATGTGTGCAAAGAACATTTAAATTTCGATTCTTTTTCTACTTTTTCTGAATGCTTTTTTGAATTACAATGTAGTTTTCATTTTCTCAACCTTAAAAGCATGAAAATGTTGAGGAACATCTTGGCAAGGTGGTTATCTGTGAACCCTGCAAATGAATGAGTCTGAAAATGTTAATCTTGTATTTGAAGCTTTCCAGTATTTTATGCTGCAGTTACTTATTTGCTTAAGATAGGGATAATGAAAAGACATCTTCAACAAATGAATACTTTATTCTCTTACTCTCCTTTTACGATAACTTCTACAATATATTAAAATTAAATAATGAAAGCTTGCAATGCTTATGTTGATGAAATTCAGCAACTTTTTCCTTAAAATAGTGTTCAGAAAGTACAAAGAATTTCTGAAGGACCAGAGCTTAACAAAAATCTGGATGCCTACTGCGTACAGAACAATATGTGAGTAACTCCATCCTTTGTATGCATACCTGTATTTTGGAATAGACTAAGATTTTGTGTTCTGGTCATAATTCTCTCATTGATTTTTATTTATCTATTTTTTTATTTATTTTTTTTTTTTTCAATTAAAGCATCAAATATAGCACTTCAGGAAAAAAAAAAAAAAAAAACATTTTCCTTCTGTGAACAAACTTGGACACCTTACAGAGAAGTACTGAATGTTGATTCTCTTGAGGCGATGCTTCAATTGAAAGGTGCTATCAGCTGTATATGTAAAGATTTCAATGAATTGATTTAAAAAGAAGAGGATCGAAATTGGAAGTACAATTTCAAATTACAATTTTATTTTTACAACAATGAAATTGTTGACATTAGGATTGATAGAAGTATGCAGTTGAAGAAAACTACATGACATGCAATAAAAACACTTTTTTTTGTAAAATTTCTTTTCTTTGCCCTTTATTTTTCAGACAATTGTCTTTAAGACTAGAGTTAACTTTGTCTCTGAACTAGCATTTAAATCTAAGAACTTGCAATTCAGGAAGTCAGTGTAATATCATTGACAGAGCCCAAATAGCAGGTAAGAAGGGCTCCAATGCTAAATGCTACACAGGATGACTTTGTGCTGCCTTTGTTTATACGCTTTCGCTTTCAATTTTATAATCAGGAATGAAACCTTTTGTCTTTTTAGAAAAACACTTGTATTGTTTTCGCATTTAAGTGAAACATCCTTTTCCGATGTTAAAAACGAATCATGGTAGAGCTGACAAATTCAAGCACTTTGTGTAGACAATTGCGTGTTTTAAAATTACAGATTTATGATTTTCTTTAAAGGCGCTCCCTCTGATTCCCACATACTTGCTCTCAGTTTTCTGCCCCCTCCATCTTCCAGACATCACTGTGGGTAGTGATTTGCTCCACAAAAAGGATTGATGAAATGAAGGTGGCTGAAATAAATCTCCAAAATAATTCCCTGGAGAAAGGACAGTCTTTGGAGCCAGACCTGCCTGCAGCTCAGGCTGAGGGCTGTTTTTAGAGAGAAGTTTCAGTAGACGTAAAGTGGTGTCTCTGGATCTCTAGTGATGGAGTAAGCAACCAGGATTGGCCTGGCCTTGCAGACTGCTTCTCCACTGGGCTTTGACAAGCAGAAGAGTATTGCTCAGAAGCTGTATCTATCTGATGGCCTTAAAGGGAAATCTAAAAGGATCATGGATGTGGTTCCAGGGAAAGCCTGATTATTCTCATTAGTCAACTGACAAAATACTTCATATGACTAATGTGAAATATTACAATTTATAGAACATGATTTTTGAGTAAACCATCACAGTGAACATGTCACTCAGTGTGAATACTGTAGGATGTAACTGTCTATTTAAATTTTATAAAAAAGGAGCTTGCACCAGCAGTGGTTTGGACATGCTTGATAGTGTCTGAAATTAAGAATACACTTACATTATCAGGTATAGACATGTTTCAATTTAAACTCATAAATACATTACCAACACATTGTTCCAGGTAGCAGCACACAGTGAGATGTCAGCGAAGCTCCAATAAGCGGTCAGAGGGGTGGTTAGCTAGGGAGCAACCTACTGATCTTGTTTGCTACAAACATGCTCAACTGTACACGTGAAAAATGGGTAGGGATGGTCTAACTTGTTTCACTTGAAGAAGCAGCATCCTTTGTAGCATTGTATAAAGTTTGAGCATACACTTGTTGAAGGAATCCTTGATAAAGAACCTCCTTAGTTACAGCGTACTCACACCCTGGGCAGAAAATACTAGGAGTGAGTCATCTATCTAATCAAGAAAGCAAGGGCAGGGAAAGAACCATGAAGCTTAAGAGCAGGAAATTCAAACTAAAATGAAGGCACACATTGTTCTGGTATGAGTGATTGAAACAAGCTATCAGGAGAAGTGATGGATTCTCCATCTTTCAGTGTCTTCCAGAGTGGGCATGTTCTGAAGATTTTGTTTTGCCAGTTGTGAGTTACTCAAAGGACAGTTTGAAGGGCAGTAACTGATAAGCTGAAGATCCTGCTGCACTTCTTAAGGGTGAGACACAAAATAGAGATATGCAATAGCTTTTTTTTTTTTTTTTTTTTTTTTTTTTTTTTTTTTTTTTTTGGTGCAAAATAAGAGGAAAGAGGAACAATATAAACAACAGCATAAATTGAAGCCTGAGAGGAACAAAGATCCTATACAGCTATACATGAAACAAATATGCTATGGAATGTAAATAAATACCTCATAGACCAATAGACCATAATTAGAAGGTGCTAGAAGGATGTGTGCGTTTCTCTATGCTTTACACACAAGATCCTCTACTAGCTTAAGTGTGTAATTATTCTGATGCAACATGCATAAAACAGAATAAATCCACAGAGCTGCTGCATGAAGGCAGCTGGAATACTATTTAATGACAAGGAACCCCTTCCAAATGGGAGGCTGGGGATATGAGACAAGTATTATAAACTGTGACGTAAAATGTCTCAGTGTCATTTGTACAACTAGAGCACAAGGCATATGTAACAGGTGCCTACTTGTGTACACCTGCTTTCCCAGACAATTCACAAGGTTTTAAGGTGTAATTCTCTGACAGGCATGCTATATTTTCACCTGCTGTATAGGAAAGAGCTTGCTACCCTACCACAGAGAAAAATATGTACTTCAACATAAGGGTTCAACTCATGAGATAACCGTACCCTGCAGAGGTGGTAATAACATTTTAATCTATGGGGAAATTACTGATGTGCAGCCCTGCCCACATCCACAGCTCCCCCATTTGTTTTGGGAAGGGATTTTGGCAGAGCTTCTGACATGGGATGGTTTTCAGCCTTCACAGGTAGGCAGAGAGAGTGGAATATCTGGTTGTCTCCTTGAAAATGGAAAACATGATCACTGCATAGATGCAGCTCCAGGACTTTTTTTTTTTTTTTTTTTTTTTTTTTTTTTTTTTTTTCCCAAGGAAATATAGAATCATAGAATTGTTTGAGTTGAAAAGGACACTTTAAGGTTATCTAGCAGTGAACAGGGACACCTACTGCTAGGCCATGTTGCTCAGAGCCCCATCCAGGCTCACTTTGAGCGTCTCCAGGCACAGGGCATCCACCACATCTCTGAGCAAAAAATGCCAGTGCCTCATGTTGTAAAGAATTCCTTCCTCATGTCCAATCTAAATCTTCCCTCTTTTAGTTTGAAAACATTTCCTTTTGTCCTGCCACATCAGATCCTGCTAAAGAGTCTGTCTCCTTACTCGTACCGTCCTCTGCATACTGAAAGGCCACTCTCAGGTCTTCTCCAAGCCTTCTCTTCTTCAGACTGAACTGCCCCAGCTCTCTCAGCTTGTCCTCAAAGGGGAAGTGTTCTATCCCTTGGATCATTTTTGTGGCCCTCCACTAGATGCCCTCTAACAGGTCCATGTCTCTCTTGTATCAAGTATTCCACATCTGGACCTAGTACTCCAGAAAGGCACTACAAGATAAATAGAAGAGAGGGAACAAGACTTCAGTGACTGAATCACAAAGCTCCAAAATCTGTGCAAGGGCATTAATCCAAAAGTAATATTTGTTTCTAATTTTAGTCTTTTTCTTTTTAATAGAATCTTTCTAATTTGCCATTTTGCTTGTACTGGTAAAATCTTGTGGTCTTATTTTTATTTTATTTTATTTTTTTGCTAAACAGGAGTCATCATTATTATTATCTTGCAGGGGATCAGATCTTTGTCATTTCCTTGGCATGACCATTACAGTGAAGCAATCAGTGGAAGACCACAGGCTACTCCAAGCTGTTACAGATTCATAATTATATAAAACCGTATTGATTCTCCATGCTTTTTTTTTTTTCCCAACACCTGAGCTGTATAGTCAGCATAGTCAGCCTAGAATATAATTGTTTAGCACTGAGTTTAAATTGAAAGTACTGTAGCTTGTTTTCAATACCGTTTGCCCTGAAGAAAAATTAATAGCAGGAAATATTCAATCAGATATCCCAGAATTTGAGTTCTGTGTCTGAAAATTCATTGTGTTTCAGTCTAGATGGGCACTTTTTTGCAAGATATTTTTAAAATAGAAGTTAGAGATTTTTTTTTTTCCCTTCTAGATATTCAATAAGCAGGACTTCCTTCTAAAGCATTTTATCCTATTCTTTCTCCAAGCATGCCCTGTGAGCTATCTGTGCAACCACATGTCATACAAAGGGAAGATAAGGTGATAGTGTTCTGAAACGTTCATAATAAAAGCAAAAGCCCCTAATTCCCTGAGAGTGGAGTTGGGAACTCTTTGCCTCTGTGAAATGTTAAAAGTTCAAATCTTTGACCAGCTCATTTTCTTGAAACTTATTCTCTTTCTGGTAAGCCTAGGCAGGCAGAGGCCTCAAAATCCTATCTTATGAGTTTGGGTTGTGTTCAAAATATGACCAAGTTTTGAGTAAACTCCCAAGGAAAGCCTCACAGTCAATCTCCTTAAGACTTGGTTAGCTGAGACCATCTCAGGAAGAAGAAATTAGCATTTTTGGGGCATTTTCCCCTAATTTACAGCTCTCCGGCTTTAAGTTGGTTATTGAAGGCCTACTCAGAAATGAGTCTACCTCTCTGTTTTTATCGTTGTAATTCATGGGATGTGGTTCACTGGCAATGTATGTTCTATTGCATCTGGAATTAGGGAAGTTCTTAGTGGACCGTTCTTTGAATGTTGTCTGTGGATTCATATGAGTACATCCTTCCCTGAGGATATACATAATCTTCTCCATTCCCATCAAGGAGAATGTGATTGCAGCAGAGTGCTGTGTGACAGATGTGGGTATTACAGACTGTCAGTGCTTTCTGAATGACTCAGGCATTAGTTTTCCCTCCTACCAAATACTAACAGAATATTCTGTGTGTCTCTGTGTTGTAAATTATCATCTTGTACCAATTCCCATTCATCCCTACAACGTATTTTATTCAGGCACCAATAATTGTGTGTTACAATGTATACAATTCTTCCTTCATTTCTTTGTCTGCTCATTTACTCCAGTCTTCCTTTACCTGCTGTTGTTGCAACTGCATGCTTCTATTGGTTTTCAAATGGAAGTCCAGATTGCATTTATCAAGTATGCCATCCAATCTTTCATTTACTGCCTTTTAATGCATTTCTGCATTCTGCATTTTTTTCCTATTAACTGCCTTGAACCTCTGTGCCTTTTTATTGTATGCTAATATAACAGTTCAAATCACACAGCTCATGGCTCACTTCTTCTCGTAGTCCATTCTTTTATTATTACAAATATTTGGAAAAATGGAGAAGCACTCTGGCTTGCAGTACATTTTACACTTATATGAACATACAGTCTGAAGGCTTTTTATTCCTAGAGGTTCCACTTTCTTGTAATTCATTTTGTGCTAAGTAAAATGAAAGGCTATCCATTTTACCTCTGACTTGGAAACCAACAAACAGAAGGGAGCTGAAAAATGAAAGCAAATCTCCGTAGAAGTTTAAATGGCTTTTTAATGGAAGAGAACAGTAAAAACAAATAGCTTTTTATATCCAAATGCAAATGGAGCAAGAGGAACCTAACGTGCATGTATCTTTTATACATTTAAAGTTACTCTGTTAAATATAAGTCCTGCTTTCTCCCCATCTTGTTGAGCAAGTTTGTGCCGATATAGCAGAGAAATGATTCATGATTATTCTTGTGTATAAAGGCAACTCTCCTATTGCTTTCAAAATCTCGTTTTGTGGGCTTACTCAGAGGCAGAGGCGCAAGATGCACAGTCTGGGAAGTGACACCCTCAACTTCTGCAGCGCACCTGCCCAAGTCCCATTCAGCATGTAACACAGCCTTGTGAATACTAAGCTCAGCTCAATCTCAACTTCTTAAATATTGCAGTATCCAGCTTTTAATTTCAGTCAACCAAATCTGACAGCAGTAGCTGAACACTGGATTCTGTCTTCCCTATGCTGCAGAAGGGCTGTGGAACTACTTTGCAAGTCCTGCTCAGTCCACAGTACAGACTAAATCTTAGTGTGTTTGTATCCAAGTTTCTTGCAATATGTGTGTACGCTGGCAGCAAATGCAAATCTATCAAGTGAATTCCCTAATCCGGTTTAGCCCCACTGCTTACAGGTCACTCTTTAGGAACAGTGTTATCACAAGGAGAAACAGGCCACTTGCCACAGATCCTGGCATCCCAACCATAGTACAGTTCATCCCTCAGGACATTCTGTATCCATCCAGCCATGGCCCTAAAGGAAATGTGGGGCAAGCCTCTTTCTAATTTCTAGTTTTTATTGTGGGTATGTTCATAGGCAAGGTAAAATGTATGGACTCCATCTCAAATTAAGACACACTTCAGACTCTCAGTATTGATCTTAGTCTAATACCATGCAGTTCCCCATATCTGAAGATTACCTAAAACAAGCAAAAGAAATCTTCTTTCACTGTGGGGCAGAGGACAGGGAACATGCTGTTTCTTTATGAAGAGGAAAAAAAGGGATGTGGCTCCTGGCTCCAGTTAGGTAATACAAGAACTGAGCATAAGGGTTACTACTACATGCTTTGAGAACAAAGCAGTGGGTAAGATCTGTTTGCAGATACAAGGGCTGCTCTGAAAGTAATGCCTCCTATTTTATTATGTTGGCCCACAGTGTCAGAGGCAGATGTTGGTGGTATGGCAGTGGAGGTTGAAACTTTCCACCAATATTCAATTACATTTCATTGCTGTGCAACAGATGGCAGCGGTGATGCAGTCAGACAAAATGATATCTTACACGGAAGTGTGGATGAAGCAAAGGTGTGTCACTGAATTACTCCATGCAGAAGAAATGACATCCATTAACATTCATTGATGTTTGCTGAATGTTTATGGAGACCAAACGGTGGATGTGAGCGCAGTGAGGCTTTGAGTGGTGCAACAGCAGTGACAGTGACATGAAAGACAACCCACGTTCTGGATGGCAATGCAGACTTTTATGAATGTGGCATGCAGGCTCTTGCTTATTACTGGCAAAAATGAATATGTATTAGTGGCAACTATGTTTAAAAACAGCATCTTATAGCTGAGAATTTTCTCTATCAAATAGTGTTTATATGCTCTCTGTATCTGCTGTATTTTCCAAGGAAATAAATAGGAGGCATTACTTTCGGATCAACCCATGTATATTGAAAAATTGTGAACAGTCTTGAGCGGAAAAGAAAGTAAACCATTTGTGGCAAATCACACTGTGGAGGAAAACTCAATGCAACTGCCTATGTGAGGTGCCAACCAAACCAAGAAATAGACAGGAAGGACAATCTGAAAAGAATGAGATGAACAATTTTATTTCCCAGTGGTTGCTGTTTCTGTTTCTGCTGCATAAGTGACTGTTTAACTCAGCAGTCTGATAGAATGAAATTCATTTCAGATGAGAGCATTTTTCTACATTCTGAGTTTGTATTTACATTTGTTAAGGTTAATAGACCTGACAACTTTTTCGTGTTCTCACTATGGAGCAGTCACTGACAAACTGAAGGAGAGTCAGTAAAGTGAGCCAAGCCAAGCAGAAGGGTGACAACTGCTCCTTAGCAGCCTCCCATGACATGAAGCAGAAGCGTAGCCACCCCAAGGATGTATCACTATGCAGGATCCTCTTGCATCCCTTCAGGGAAACTTGCATCTTCTGCTCGCTTTTCTTCTATGAATTACCTGTATACCAGTGCACTCAGAAGGGGGAATAAATAGGAACAACCACAGATTTGTGTGTGTGGTCGTAGGGCCATGGTCTCGTTGCAATCACAGAGGCATAGTGGGACAGCTCATATGACTGAAATGAATGGCTGTGTACTTTCCAGGAAAGACAAGTTAGCAAGGCAAGGTTGTGGAGTTGCTGTTTATGTGAGAGAACAACTGGAATGTATTAACCTCTGCCTAGGAATGAATAATGAATGATTGGATTCAATGAATGAGTGGATGAATGAGAAATTTAATACTATCTCTCATAATATCTTTGCAGCTAAGCCTGAGAAGTATGGGCTAGATGAGTGGACAGCGAGGTGGATTGAGAATTAGCAGACTGACACAATACAGAGTTGTAGTCGGTGACGCAGTGCCTAGTTGGAAGCCTGTAGCTAGCGGTGTTCCCTAGGGGACAGTACTGAATCTAGTTTTGTTCAACATCTTCATCAGTAACTTGGATGAGGGGATAGAATGCACCATCAGCAAATTTGTTGGTGGTACAGAGCTGGGAGGAATGGTTGACACACCAGAAGGCTGTGCTGCTATTCAGTGAGACATGAACAGGCTGGAGAGTTGGGCAAAAAGCAATCTGATGGGGTTCAGCAAGAGCAAGTGTAGATTCCTACACCTAGAAGGAAATAACTACGTGCCTCAGTATTGCTTACAGCTTGATCTGCTGGAAAAGAACTCTGTCAAGAATGACCTGGGTGTCCTGGTGGACAACAGGTTGGCCATGAGGCAGCAATGTGCTCATGACCAAGAACGCCAATGGCATCCTGGGATGCATTAAAAAGAGTGACCAGCAGGTTGAGAGAGGTTCTCTTCTCCTTCAACTCTGCCTCAAGGCCACATCTGGCATAGAATATCCAGTTCTGGGCTTCCTCAGTTCAAGGAAGACAGAATTTCTAAAGAGAGTCCAGTGGAGGGCCACAGAGATGATGAGGGCCTGGAGCTTCTCTTTTAATGAGGAAAGGCTGAGTGATCTTGGGCTGTTCAGCCTAGAGAAGAGAAGGATGAGAGGGGATCATACCAATAATCTTAAATATTTAAAGGGCAAGAGTCAAGTGGATGGGGCCAAACTTTTCAGCAGTGCCCAGTGACAGAACAAGGGGCAGTAAGCACAGTGGAATATATAAAGTTCCATACGTACATGAAAAAAAACAACCTCCTTGTGAGGGTGACAAAGCACTGGAACAGGCTGCCCAGTGATGTTATGAAGTCTCTTTGGAGACACTGAAATCCCTACTAAGCAATTTCCTTGTAACCTACTGTAGGTAGGTATCTTCTTTAGCATGGGGTTGGACTTGCTGATATCCAAAGGTTCTTTCCAATCTCTATGATTTTGTAATGGAAACAACATTCTACAGAGAAAGGAAAATCACAGAGCTCTTACACATTCCTTCCTAGTTGCAGAACTTAGTCCCTGTTGGTGTAAATTAGCGCAGTGCTCCTGACCTCACCACAGCAAAGCTAATTTGTGCCATCTACAGTTCTCACTGTTTATTTTTGTTGTCTGTCATTCCCATGTTATACAGAAGTGCTGTTGGAGCCTCAGTCACCTCTGAATCTACTTTGTTATTTTGGAGTCTCTGTCAGCACTTTTCTTTTAAAGTGTTGCTGGTTTTATATCTCCTATGCTTGTACTGCAGATTCCCATCTTTAAGTACTTTACCTTCAAAACTCCATCTGCAAAAATCTATTTTGATAGAGTGTTGCTGAGGTGAGGTCAAGTAACAGATATCTTTGGCTACTTCTAAGGTTGCCTTTAGAAAATAAAAGAATACATTAACCCAGTAAATGTATCCAGGAGAGGATTAAATTTAATTTTAAGGGTAATATAGATTCTGGGGTAATATGACTGTGTTCTTCTCATTGGCATCAGGGCTCTTAGGATATGTGAGTCTGAGACACTTTTCTTTCTTGCCCTTTCTAGACTCCACAGAGGACCACAGAGACAGACTTTAAAGAGGGAAGCAGGCAAATATGTCCTAGGAAGTAAGCTCACCTGAGCTGAACTGCAGTAACGGGCCAAATGACTGCTCCTTACCAAAGATAGATGTGAACAAAAATGCATTAGCTAATTTGAGGGATTTAGGGTAAAATATTTCATTTCCATCTTGAATAATATAAATAAGGTGGGTAGTTACTGTGCCTAAGCTGCCCCTGTGTGAGCAAAATCTAATGATAGTTATCTCTCCCAGACTTCAGTACGAGGAGGCAGGAACAAGCAGGAGGTTGGTGAAAGTTTGGTCTGTTGTGCAGACTAAATTTTCAGAGAATAATCCCCAAAGTTTGCAAACTGTTTTATTAGATAATTTTATTCTTTAGTGCTCCTGCTTTCAGTGATGTCTGTTTCTGTCACTGCAGCAATCACCTGTGGCAAGATCTTTCATCACAGTGCTTTGGCAGAGGCCTCCAACGAATCCCTCCCAAAAGTGGATGGGAGTTAAAGCATTGTGAAGTAGTGAAGAGGGTAAGTCAGCCTTCATTAGCACATTGTATTAGCTTGTGTGACAGATGATTCTATTCTTTCCATGGCAGTCCCAGCAACAAAAGCTCCATGTGACTACGTGTTAATCGCAGTGGTTTATTTGCAAACCAGCCTTCCACTCCTCACGCCTACATCATTTCTCCATCTCCAATTGCACTTAATATATCTATCCTCTATATCCCCTGATGCTTCGGAAGCCTAAGAGCAGAAATACAGTCATACACCTTTGCAATCTATCGTTGTAATCTTGTTTGCCATGTAATTTTTATTCATCAGGAAGTTCTAGTGCACATCCTCTGCTTGAAGTTTTAATTTAGTTCTTAGTGAGACAAATCTCATATGGTGACTAATGTAGGAAGTGAGATTGGATAAAAGTCAAATAAGGTCTCAAAGGTTTGGCCTTGAGTGATGATGCTAAATATAAGTGCAGATAGGAAAGGTAGATGTGGAGGGAAAAGTTCTGGCTTGCAGATAGATTTTCTTCAGGGATAAATAAATTCAGAACATTTTTAGATATAGCTGAATAGAGTATAATGCTGTATTTGTCCTCAGTTTTTATCACAACTGAGAAGTGAAAAATTGCCTCATCTGTAAGGGCTCTGAATATAATGAGCAAGAATGAGCTTCTCTTTGTCAGTCCTAATAGCTTTGCCTCTGAATGGACTGCAGGACTGGGGGAAATGTCGCTTGTTCCAGCAGTTACAAAGTAGCACTAGTTAACCACAAGTTTATTCCCACAACTCAGCTAGTTAGTCAGAAATAGACAACTCGATATAGACAATGGTATGCTGTGGAGCATCAGTCACAGAAATATGTGCAGCTATACATGTACTTAAAGAGCTGCAATGTAAATCCATTTGAGAGAACAAGAAGGTAAAAAAAAAAAAAAAGACAGGTAGCCTACAAATACAGCTGTTTGTTTGGCTGTTGTATTCCATCTTTTTAAATATACGAATTAAGGCTTCAATTGAACTAAATTTTGCATGAAGTAACACTAAATTTTCTTGACATATCTGCACTAATATATTAATACATACATATAAAATGAATAAAATATTATTATATATTCTAAATATTATTATATATTCTAATATTATATACCATACTCACTGAGAGGCGAGATTTCAGTTTACAAGTTCATCCTGAGCAGAACAGAAGACGCTGAGTCCCAAACCCTCAGGTTTATTTAGCCTCTAAACTTGCATAGCAGCAGTACATGTTCTTACACACCACTAGATGGTGACTTCTGTAATGAGTTGTTGACTTTCATCCTACAATATATTTCTCTTGTTATCAGAATGGAGCAGAAGCATGATTTTACTACCTGTATTTTTTATAATTCCCCTCTAAATATATTGCTATAATCATTCTGACAGTTGGAAGAATCTGGTGGATAGCTATGGAAAGAAAGAAGGTGAATCATCCCTGTCAATTGTCTTTATCATCTCTGTGCAATTCAAAAATATGTATGTTTATTAACACAGACTGTATGATGCCACATACAAATGATCAGGCCACAATTCATTTGCCTGAGACAGAAAAAAAAAAAAAAAAAAAAAAAAAATAAAAAAAAATTAAAAATCTAATATCTTCATTCAATTATGAATGCTACATGCATAATCTTTAATTAGAAAAGGGTAAGCCTTCTTGCATCAGGCAAAATGTCTTCCTCAGCATGTGCTGTTTCCACTCAGAGCATGTTAGCTATCTGCTATTTAAAAGGCTACTTCAAAATCCTGCTTGGCACCTTTCCCTACATGGTTGCAATAGCAAGATCAAACAAAAGCAATTTGTTTGTCAGCTGAGGCTTACTCTTCAGTTGGACAGGAATCAGTCTTATCAACAGGCTGTACCAAAGAGCTGTTTGCCACTTCCCTCTAGTGACACTTGTTGCTATTAATACCCTTCACCTGACATAAAGGGAAAATTCATTGATGACTATACTCTGAATAACAAAAATAATATTTCTTTCTGTCCTCTTAATGCATTATTCAGATTGGAAGCCACTTATACCTGAGTTTGACTCTTTTGTACATCACGCTTTGCATTTCTGCAAAACTTTCTAGAGCTCTGGGGATCTCTCTGGTTGTTTAACACAGGCTGCCAATCTTTATCTTAACAACACCACAACTAATAATAATGAATTCATTTAAGTTGCTCCTTATTTAGCAGACTGTAGCATATGATATGATTTTCAAAAGCATCTGAAGAATGAAATGCTCTTAAATATTCTTAAATTCCTGATAATCAGACTGATTCAAAGAAGTTTAGAGCTTGTAATCACAAATCACTTTTGGTCTATGCAACTGATTCCCTTTCTGTAAGCATTCAGTGAATATTTTGCAATGGATGCTTCTATTATAGCTTGAGAATTTGTAGCCCAGGATTGTGAAGAGGTATCCCATTGCTTTACTTGTACTATGATGGCACCATTACAGAATGCCTGCTCTCTCCACCAAATCAAATTTTCTTTTCTCATCAAGTAAACTTTAGCCTACAAACTGGAATTTGTTTTCTAGGAGCATTAACACAAGCTAATTTGTCTTGTACAGGTGTTTATGGGAAACCAAATCAGGGCTTTACTGGATCAAAATGTGTCTGAAGAGCCACCAAGGTATCTGAGAATTTGTCTCCAGGTCTTTACCTACCTCTGCAGTTGATCCATCTATTAAAAAACAGATTTGAACATGGCTGGACTCCAGGCATTTTCTGGTACAGTGTTTATTAATGTCTTTCCAAGATGAAACATTTCTGAAACAAGATTAGCATCAGTATTTACAAGCAAAGGGCTAGCTCTAGAAATAGCTCAATCAAAAGATGTCAGAGAAGGCAACTATTCATGGGAAATTATTTGCAAAGGATACGTTCTTCCTTCCTTAGTTATGCTTAGAGTTTTCTTCCCAGCATCAAATTGACTCTCTAGTTATAAGTTTAAATGAGGAAAATACATATTTACCTTATAGAACAGAGCTCTCTATCTTCTGCTTCCTTTCTGCCTGCAAAGCTGCCTATTGATTTCTTGACTTGTGTATTTCTCATCTATTGACTAATGACAAAGCCTTAGCTGTGTCAATGCTGTCAAAGCAGTGTGTGTTTATGCCACACTGAAGTAGAGATAAGAGGAATTATACTTTTTTTTTTTTTTTTTTTTTAATTGAAATAATCTCTGTCTATGTCTTGCTAGGAAGAGGTTGCTCTTGAAATCAGCTATTTGGGGTCAAGGGGGATGGGAAGAGTTGTCCTGCAAGATCAGGATGCTTGGAGATGCACAGGAGTTAGGCTTAGACCTTACATACTGCATTAGCCAAGGACTAGTGATGTCCAAAATATGAGTAGAATTTTTATTCTAGCCCTCCATTCTTGCAAAGTGTGTTTTTAGGGAGATTCAGCTGTCCTTTATTTTCTATTCTGAGGATACAATTAACATATTGGGCTTTTGGATGAGTTTTGTAAACGCAATACAATTGATTTGCAGTGCCCTGCTGTGAGACCAGTGACATCGTAACCTGAGCCCATTACGTGACCAAAACAGGCTTCAGGCAGAGCGTGTGTCCTCTGAAGCAAGCTACCAAGATAAAAAAAATACCAAACAAATAAGTAAAACAAAACAAAAACAACAAATCTCAAGCACAAGCCGAAAACAAGAAAACAACTGCATAGACAAAAAATGAAAAGAAAATGGTGGTTATTCATTGTGTGGTTTTTAACAAGAGGTTTGACTAGACCCTAATAATCTCATTTCATCAAAACTTATCAAACAAATGTTGAACCCTGTGACAAAAAAAAAAAAAAAAAAAAAAAAAAAAAAAAATCAATATTTTCGAGGGCTATAATCTAATCAAGAAAATGTTCTAAATCTGACTTGCTTTTACCAGCTGGTAGTTTTTAAAGAAAGATATTCTGTGGTAAACTATACATGTGAATGCCTTTTAAATAACTTTCAGCTGAATAGTTAACTCTTGTAGAAAATGTGCGCAGCCTAACTAGAGGTCATGTGATTTTCTGTTTTCCTGTTGCATAAAATATCTGGAAAAAAACCAATGTGATACATTGCTCCTACTAATGCTGTACCCTGTCCCTTCGTTTAATTACTGCAATTAATCTTAATCTGTCTTTGTTTGGCAACAGCTAGGTCAGGAATGCTTATCTGAATGCTTATAATAGAGATGGCTGTTTTGATCGCTAAGCTCACCATCTTTACTTTGTCAGATAAAAATATCCAGCATTTTATTGCAATCTAAATGGGTGCTTTATGGTTCTGCAGATTACAATTGTGTATTACTAAGGGAGAGGCAAAAATATTTGCTACAAAGGAATATTTTTGTAAACAGTGTAAAAATGAAATTCAGTGTCCAGAACATTTAGCACTGTTTTGTTTGTAAAAATATCACAGCTGCGTTTCACATTGTATGAAGCACTCACATAAGCGTTTAATTCACTTATATATCAAGCTACATAAAAGACAATGCAGTAATTAGGTCTGAAACAGATAGAAGGTCTACTTTAGATAATGCACTGTCACTAAAATAGCATATGCTGGCTTCCTTCAATTCTGTATGTTTAATCTGTAAAGCTGTAGTTTTGATGAGATGACAGTTACTGAAAATAATAGAATAGACAAGATGTACACAAACTTTTCTGAAACAGAAGCTCTTCAGTTTGCCTTACTGCATTTTTATAGGCATTGCAGCATGTCCACTGTCCATAGAGATCCACATAGAATTTATTGATTGTAATTCTAGGAAAACACAATGAAGGAGTAGCATTTTTCCTGAAACAAGTTTCAATTTTTTTGTGGACAGTCAATGAGTGGAACTGTACCTCCCATAGGCTGATGGACCCCTCCACTTTTCTGGTCTCTTCTAGGTAAAGATCAATCAAGTGGGTAATCCAGCCAGTGTGCCCCTACTGTTGATCATATGAAGAGCAAGACTGTGCATGCATGCAGAGGACTGGGTGCTCTGTCTGGATAGTCACACCTCCAAAAATAAGACTTTTTGAGTAGGCATTCAGCATCTTTGTAAGCAAAGAAGGTTCTTTGGCTTCCACTCCAATGCTTTTTGTTCTTAGAGCCCAATTAAGCCAAGTTCTCTAACGTTTCTGCTAGGTAAGTTCACAATGCAAAGAACAGCTGGTCTCACGACTGGTATAGCAGGCCAAAACCAAGTCAGAGCTTCACCCGGAAGAAAACTGGAACATAATAAAGCACTCTGCAGCACAGGTACTGCCTGATATTTCATGGCCAGATCTCCCACATGGACAGATAAACACAGCTTCTGCAGATTTCGTTAACAACCTTGTTAAGAAAATACCAGGTGGTAGTGACAAAGGCACCAGCTATTGCAAGCGCTGCAGAGTAAAGTGGGTCATGATACATTTACCATTTCTGCCGTTACACTTATTCTAGGTTTATTGGAACACAGGGAGTTCTTAGACCCTGGGGTATGGACAATTTTCCTTGCAGAGTAACTGCTTGCCTGACCTCTATTCCAAAATTAAATTAATTAGTAAGTAACCTTCTGGATCTTTTGACCTTCTGTATGTCTATTGTACTGATGACCAGTAGTGCCTGCACATTTCTACGTGCTTTTTAATATTCACGAGTTAGGCTAATTAGGCCCATACAAAGCAACTAAAATCATGACTAGTATTAGGAAAACTGAAATGGATGCAGGGATTTGCTTGGAAAACACATTAATGCCTGCAAAATCTATGTGCTGAGGTCTTCTAGTGAGGGATTTTGCATTGAATAGGTCAGCCAGATAGGGGTGAAGAAATCCCTCTCCATAGTTATATCCTAGCCCTCTTAGCAGCAATCTCTTTACTTCGGGAGTGCAGTCATCTAGCTCAGACCATCACTCAGTCTCAGTATGAATGAGAGCAGATTAGAAAAGTGGCTGTAGCTGTAATACTCCTCAATTTCATCAGCACAGAGTCACCCAGCTGTGTCTGGGCAGCCATTGCTTGCTCTCTGAAGGTCTAGTTCAGCACCAAGAGTACGTATTTATGTTTCATCAAATAAACCTCAGTCTGTGGTTGCAAGATATCCTCCATGGGGAAGCAAGCTGAAATCATTCATATGTGCATAAAATAACTCTGTGAGTGATTAGTTCAAATCAAAGCATTTTGAAAGTGAGGCGCAGTGGTTTTGTTCACTTGAGGAAACATTCAGTATCTACATATTATTACGAACAAACCTCAGCAGATTGTAATTACTATTTTCCTCTCTTATTGCTGTGGCAATCAGGAACAGTGCAGACAGAGAAATTGTCTGTGGCCCAGAGAGCTGACAAGCCCAGCATAAGACAAGAAATAGCAGATGAATGTGATGGATGTGTCAAAGTTCTTTCAGCACCAAAACTAATCACAGAATCACAGAATGGCCAAGGTTGGAAGGGACTTCAAGGATCATGAATCTCCAACCCCCCTGCCACATGCGGAGCCACCAACCTCCACGTTAAATGCTAAACCAGGCTGCCCAGGGCCCCATCCAACCTGGCCTTGAACACCTCCAAGGACGGGGCATCCACAACCTCTCTGGGCAGCCTGTTCCAGCACCTCACCAACTCTCTGGGTAAAGAACTTCCCCCTGATGTTCGACCTAAATCTCCCCTCCCTCAACTTAAAACCATTTCCCCTCGTTCTACACGTATCAACCCTTTCAAAGAGTTGATTCCCCTCCCCTCTGTAGGCTCCCTTTAGGTACTGAAAGGCTGTAATGAGGTCACCCCGCAGCCTTCTTTTCTCCAGGCTGAACAAGCCCAGCTCCCTCAGCCTGTCCTCATAGGGGAGGTGCTCCAGTCCCCTGACATCCTAGTGGCCCTCCTCTGGACCCTTTCCAACAGCTCCCTGTCTTTTTTGTACTGCAGGCTCCACACTTGGACCCAGTATTCCAGATGCGGCCTCACAAGAGCAGAGTAGAGGGGGACAATCACCTCCCTGTCCCTGCTGGTCACCCCTCTTTTGATGGACCCCAGGATACCATTTGCCCTCCGAGCCACAAGAGCACACTGTTGGCTCATATTAAGTTTTTCATCTATCAGGACCCCCAGGTCCTTCTCCACAGGGCTGCTTTCAAGGACCACTCCATCCAGCCTGTATGGATGCCTGGGATTCCTCCAGCCCAAGTGCAAAACTTTGCACTTTGCCGTGTTGAACCTCATCAGGTTCACTCGGGCCCACCTTTCTAGCCTCTCGAGGTCCCTCTGAATAGCATCCCTTCCTTCAACCATGTCTAATGACTAAATGCTTCTTAGTTTGTCTTTGTTTGTTTTAATAACACAAAAAAAACTCTCAGTTTGGTTTGAACACGATACTGTATCTGGCCTCAAACTGGTGCCTTGTTATGGATACTTAGAAAAGATGCAAAGGAAATGAAGAGCAAAGTTTATCACAGTGCTGCAACAGATCCCTGTGTTGACATTTCTGACCACTGCTCTGACCATCTGCTCACAAATAAGCATCTCCCTGGCTGGCATCTGATTCCTTCTTTTCCACAACTTTTAATTTGGAGGCTCTCAGTTTCTTGGTGTGATATTGAAGTAGAAACCAGCTGCAGGATCCAAAGACCCAACAAGGGCTTTTGTTGAAGCTATTGCTTCCTGGGAACAAAACAGCAAAAGCAGGCTGTGAAACCATGCAAGGCATAGGGATTTGTGCTATATATTTGTGTTATAGGTTAGGCCAATAGTGCTGTTAATCAGAATTATGAAATGAGTAGAAATTAGATATCCATCTATGGTTATAGAATCATAGAATCATCTGAGTTGAAAGAGACTCTTAAAGGTTACCTAGGACTGCTCCTCTGCAATGAACAGGGGTCACCTACAGGTAAATCAGTTTGCTCAGAGACCCATCCAGCCTGACCTTGAGCATCTCTGGGGATGAGGTCTTTCACTAGCAACATTGCCCTTATCATAAAAAGCTTCTTCCTTATGTCCAATCTAAATTTCACCTCTGTTAATTTGAAACCATTTCTCTTTTGTCCTGTAACAATAGACCTTGCTAAAGAGTCTGTCCCCTTTCTTACAGCACCCCTCTAGATACTAGAAGGTTGCTAATCTTCTCTATTACTGCTCTTTTTCTTTATCTCTCAATTGTGCTACTAACTACAGGCAGTATGTTCATTTAGCACACCATAGAGACATGTCCCTTTGTTCAGTTTACAAATTCTTTACAAAGAATGTGTTTGTTTTTGGATTTCTTAAACAGCTCATTTTTTCAGGAGCACATTTGAGTTCTGGTTTGTTTGCCAGCAGTTTGCAATAAGCCAAGAAAGAGCAACAACATATAATCAAATCCATTGTGACTACGTTAAGATTACAGTAGAGGAAGAAAATTAAACAAAATATTGCACGAGTCCAGCTAAGAACAATGAAGATATCTGAACAATGTCATAAACACTTATTACTACTTACATAAGGACTACTTGTCTGCTTACTCTCAAGCTTGAGACTGACTTCCATTTTAAGGCTGCCCTCAGATAAGGTCATCCTCTGTTAATATGAAATCATATCAAATATAAACTTGTTTGTTTCTCAGCAGCTCTCAGCAGAACTGAAACCATTTCTAATGTGGCCAAACTCTTCCTTCTGTCCTGACAATGGACAAATATCAGAACGAAAAATGCAAGTGAGATGATAAAACTGTAGAAGAATCTATCAACCTTGGAAAAAGCAGGTATTTCTTTTTAAAATAAGAGTTAATATGGATAAATTTATAATTTAAAGTCATTACTGTAAACATACATAATGGAGAACTAGCATTTAAAAAACATTCACAAAGAGACAGAGTAGAAAAAGAATACAGCTTTCTTCTTGATGTAGGGAGGGAACAGGCAGAAAAAGCTAATGTACTGCATGTGAATGGTCTTGTGCAAGGAATGCTTTAAAATTTTGTCTTTTGCTGCCAGCATCTTTTGATGAAATTTTTTTCTAGTGCACTTCAGATTATTGGGCCATAAAGCTAATTGGACTTTGTTCAACTAGCTACTGTGCCATTAGGACCAGCCATTTTCCCCAGGTTTAATTTGTCAATTTATCCAGAAAAGAATTATTCACAGTGTTCTTAGAAGAAAGGATTATATTTCAGTACTTCTCCAGAGAAGACAGCTGAGGCAGAAAGAGGAGAGAGACAAGAGAATATATGGCATGCTGTGCAAATGATATGGTTGTCCTTTCTTCTCTGTGTAATTCAGTTCTCGCCAGATTTCAGCAAGCAGGCAGACAGGCTATACTGTTTGCCTTTCAGAGCTGATGGTTTAGAAATGTCATCTATCACTCTGCCACAGCTCCAAACATGGCAAATGACTCCCCCAGAGCATGCAGCTCTGAATAGCTGGAAATCATTACTTTCTACCCAGAATCTCCCTCTGCTCATTTAGCCTTTTTAGGTTAAAGAAAACTAGCTAGCACCATAGCACTAAAACAATACCTACCTGATGGAGATATGGGTAGATTAAACTTATTGAGGCTTATTGGACCAAAGCTGGTGCAAGTATTTCTGAATTTGTCCCACAGTCATACCAGGGGCATTTCTGCCCAAGATTTCTGCTCTCACACATCCATTCAGTAAAAATTAATCGGAGGGCAGTTCTTACTCTTCCTAGGCACAGCCCTCTTGATCACAGCCAGCACTGACACTGCCTTCTGGTAGTAATCTCAGTGCCTTTGAAAATTAAATCATATGGAGGGCTGCTGGGTTTGAAACAGTTTCCAAGGTGTAGAGCTTCAGCTCTTCCATTCAGAGTTCTGCCTGGCCAGTGGAACTTGCAGTCTGCACAAGCTCAGTATGCTGAGGACATTGGCAGCAGCCAGATCTATCATTGTATATTCCAGACTTGTGGGAGCACTGGGTAGCTAGTGCCTGGTAGAGAGTCTGGTAGATTGCCCCCAGAGAGACCCAGCATTGCAGGCTGTAGAAGAACATAGATGAGGTAAAAAGATCTTATGACTAATGGAAAGTGGAGGGTATGGGGCTTCTACTCATGCACCAACACATACTGCTGTGCTCTTTGAGTCCTTCACACTCAGATATATTTGGTGTTCCTGAGAGTGTATAAATTTTATTAAAAGTATTGAGATAAAGCCTGCCACGTGGAATCAGACTGCTGAGACATCTGTACCAGTATCCAGCTGGCCTGGAAAAAAGGCTTACAAAACCCAGTAAAAGGCATGGAAGGGAAAAATAATCCTTCCTAGCTGCTCTCTCATAGGGATTGTGTTATAGTTGAAGCTTGGCTGCTATTAGAGACTATTCACAATTTTTTCTTTTGCAGGGGATGGAGTTATTTGTAGCATTAAAAAAAGTAGCTAGTTAATGAATAATATTTATGATGAGAATTAATTTGTGCATGTGTATGTTTGTACATTTTTATGGGTATGATCATAAGCATCCTCCTCCAAAAATTTGGCTCAACATAGACATACAGATACTATATATAGTGCATCAAGATTCTCCTATAATTTACTCTGGAGATCTCTATCTGTCTCTGTCTTGATACATCCTTTTTCTTCCCTTCTCTCATAAGGCTTCAATAAAAGCTCCAAATCCAGAGAAAGATGGTGATGCTGTACAAACATTTGAAATGTGAAAAGAAGCGAAAGAAAAATAGTTTCTCTTATCCAGAGCTGTGAGGGATAAAATGAAGGCTGATCAGTTCTGTGTAAAGAAGCAGAGATTCAGGTCAGGTATAAACTTTTCTCAGTGCTAAAGCAGATCAGGCTGTGGAATAAACCACCTGAAAAGATCACTGAGCCACATCAAAGGAGGGATTTTGAAACTGGAGGCTTTGGAAATTAGGATTGCATTAGGATGCAGGTGAAGAACTCCAGTGAGGCTGGGGTCAGCTGCCTGACCCTGACACCTGCACTTTGGGTCAGTTTTTATTTCATACGCCATTTAATGTGACTTGTGGATGATCTGGATGTAATCAAAGCTTGCTGTGCATATTCTACAGCAGTCTCATATTTTGGCTAAGTTTATGCAACAGCAAAAGTCATGCTCCTAACTCCTTCCCTGGGCTGCACAGACTCAGTCCCTGCCTGCTACACCACTGTCAAGCTGGAAATGGGCGCTCCATCACAGCTGCTCTAATGATACATGTTCCCCATGTTCCACCCAAATGCTTGCACTGGAAAGGCTTTGAAAGCATGTACAACAAAGGAAGGGATGTCTGCAGCACTCAACATCAGAGCTTACTTCCGCTCATGAAAAATGGAGGAAGTCTTTACTGCTATCAGCTGGTCACCTGCCAAATGTTGCTTAAAACTTGTGAAAGGTGGAATTGATTGTGTTAGGACAGGTGGACATGAAGTTTTCCCAAAGTATTGTCCCAAGTACTGTAAACACTTCAGGCAGAAAGTCTTATAAGCCTTTCTGTTTTCAGATTGATTAACCATTTTACTGCAGGCAAACAGATAAACATGTCTTGCAAACACTGTATCTGGCATAGAGGTTTGTAATGAAGACAGTGGGTTCCTAATCTTTGTGCCAGGTTGCTTCAGTCACTTTTGGAAGAGATAACACCAATGTATAAATAGACAGTAAAGAGGGCACACAGGGTGGTAGTCTGCAGTCTGTGGTTATCATGCTATGTGCATTGTTGGCTGCTGCTCTTTTCAGGGATGTGCTGGTATTAATGCAATTGGTCTCCTAGGCTGGGCATTCAGCACTCTAATGTTGGAGAGATTTCCCTTTTTGGCTTGTATTGTGTTTGTACTGAAATTCATCATTATATCAAAAGAAAAGGAATTACTGGCAAGAAAATAACTTGAAAGGTTCCAAATGATTTTCTGAGAAAGAGGCTGTGCTAAAAACAAATAGCTATTTACGTACATGCATAGTGTGAGGATTATCACCCCAGGAACATATTATATAAAGCAGTCAAATGTGGAGCGCACAGCTCCACACCTCTATGTGCCACAGTGGGAATTAGATTCCTTTCCCCTCAAAACTCCTCACTATGCCAGAGAGAGGGGATCGGAAAGGCAGCTCCAGGCACTAAATGAGTTGCACAACAGCCATCACCTCATTCTGCTGGGCTGCAGAGACTTTCTATTTTCAGCTTTTCACTCCTGTAAAGAAACACATTTAAGCCCGAAGAAGATTGAGTTGCCATAGATGATCAGTGCCTCACTTGAGCATAGCTGTGGGCCTTTCCTATTTATTCTACCTTGTCCTAGGGAGAATAACTCTTGCTAGAGAAGAGCAGGGCTGAGTCCATCACATCATTAATTTTGCTTACTAAAATAATGTGCTGTTCTTCTACAATAGAAAACCTTAAGTCACACAGTCATCTAGAAAGCAAAAAGAAAATATAATTTATGCATCTCTTGTCAAGTTGTACTAACTGCAGACTGTTGTGTTCTCCTTAGGATCAGAAAAAATAGTGTGAATAAATATTCAAGAGAAACAGCCATGCAGCACCTTGCAGTTAAAAGGTTGCTTTTAAAAACTGAAGGAAGAATACATTCTGTGTGTATGAATATGGAGCAGAGCAATATAGCATGATTCTAGCTGAATCTAACCAAGAAGCCCCAGTCACTACATTGTCTGAATGAAACACCTCATGCAATATGCCTGAGAACACTTTCAGCACCTGTAGCTACAGATCTGTGCATATCAAGTTTATTTGAAGAATAATTAAATTGCTAACATCTTCCTGGAGACAGATTTCAGGGGCAATAAATTACAGGGGCCAGCAGGTGATTAGAAAGCTAAATGCTGTCCTTTCCAATTGCATTTGTTTAACTAACAATCTCTTGCTTACAGGGCATTGGAAAGAGGGAAAGTGAAATCACAGCCTGCTTAAAAATGTTGGGCCCACAGTGCCTGACTAGATCTGAACAGATGTAACTGTGTCCAGGCCTGGAGCCCCCCGTACAAAAAAGATGCAGAGCTCTTGGAACAAGACCAGAGGAGGACCACTAAGATGATCAGAGGGCTGGAGCACCTCTCCTATGAGGAAAGGTTGAAGGAACTGGGCTTGTTTAGCTTGAAGATAAGAAGACTTTGGGGTGACCTCATTGTGATCTTCCAGTAATTGAAGGGAGCATTTAAACAAGAGGGGTAATGACTGTTTATGAGAGTGGATGGTGATAGGACAAGGGAGAATGGTTTTAGACTGAGACAGGAGAGGTTTAGGTTAGATATTAGGAGGAAGTTCTTCACTCAGGGTGGTGACGCACTAGAACAGATTGCCCAAGAAGGTTGAAGGCTGCAGGGTAACCTAATTGCAGCCTTTCAGTACCCAAAGGGAGCCTATGTACAGGAGGCTCTTTGAAAGGGTAGATAACAGCAGGACCAGGGGAAATGGTTTTAAGTTGAGGGAGGGAAGATTTAGGCTGGATATCAGGGAAGTTCTTTACAGAGAGAGTGGTGAGGTGCTGGAACAGCTGCCCAGAAGAGGTTGTGGATGCCCTGTTCATCCCTGGATGGGATCCTGGGCAGCCTGGTCTAGTATTAAAGGGAAGGTTGGTGGCCCTGCCTGTGGTAGGAGGTCTGGAGCTGGATGATCTTTGAGGTCTCTTCCAACCCTGGCCATTCTGTGATTCTGTGATTGTGTTGTGGATGCCCCCTCCCAGGAGGCATTCAAGGTCAGAGCTGGATGTGGCTCTGGGCAACCTGGTCTGGTGGTTGGCAACCCTGTCCATTACAGAGGGGTTGAAACTAGA